CTACAAATTGCTTAGTGATAAATTTGCACCTAATATGCCCTCATTTTTCTTGTCTTCCAAAACAGAGAATTTACGAGGACACTCCAAAAAAGTTCATAAGCCGAGAACAAATTACTTGTCAACTGACTATCGACTTTCCCATCGAATCATCAACGAGTGGAACTCATTACCTCAGCACGTGGTTGAGGCTCCATCCGTCGACTCTTTCAAAAGAAAGTTGGATCAACTGAGAGACCACCATTGCCAGGACGAACATAGGCCATCGAGCCTCCTGTCCTTCCCAAACTGAAACTGATAAGTCTTTTTAGTTACCTTCATTTTAAGATTTTATTGCATCCTATTTACTTAGTTTGTCATCAGCTTTCTATTTCTGCTTTTCATGTCAGATCCCCGTTACGACGCCTTATTCTATTCATCAATAACGTCTCATCACGACAAACCGAACCTCACGAGGGCTATAAGTCACAATACATGACTAATTTCAACTCATGGGAGGAGTTTGCGAAGGCGGCTGAAGTTCTTTATTTAGAAGACCCTTCAAAAGTAATCAGTTCAAAATTCTGTCTTATTTCTAGTGTCGTATGTGTACAAAGTATAGACACGTGGACCGAAAGCTTGTTGTTAAATTAACAGATAACCACACAGTGAGTTGGTATTTTAAATTGTATTTGCATAGGTGTTAAAGTATGTCACAGATATGGCTCAAGACGTCAAAAAAATTGAAAAATTGACGTCCCTGCTTATGCGTCATATGGCTTCAAAGGAGAAATAAGACTGGAAAGCTGAAGTTGTGCATTTCTTCGTCATTGTGGCTTTTATTAACTATCGATTTGTACATACCTTCTGTTTTCCCAAACATTCAACATGGGTTTTCTGGTATACGAGGTCTCTTGATGAAATTTCTGACTTCAGTGTGCTTTATTGTTCATGTAACTAACTTTTATTTATGATTTTGTTTTACGGAAAACATTTAAGTCGTCCCCATAAAGTTGTTCATTTGCAGTTAGTCTTTTGGTACGGGTGGTCTTCTTATTTTAGACCACTAGACGTTACTTAGTATTTGTCATCATTAGTTATCATCCGACTGAGGTCCAGCAATGGTGTTAGTATTCTTGTGTTCGTCTTTCCACTTCCGCTTTTTTAATGCTTGCTGACATTGTTTTAAGTGGGGTTTTTTATGTTGTCCGGCAAATAAACAGGCAGTTTAACTATAGCATAAGCTTATCAGGGATTATAGTATATAAGTATATCACACATTGACAGGTCATTCATATGCTAATATAATGGTCTGTCCTTACTTGTAATTTCAAGGAAGTGTTTCCAGAGGAAAACCAACATCTTCAATACAATGCCTTCACATAACAGGAGAGTTCGTAAAACGAAATAGCGAAATTTACCATGCCTCAAGAATTCTAGGCGGGAGTGACAAAGTCTAAAATCCAATATATAAAAAAATGACCGTTCAGAACAGATACTGTGTAAGTGGTCTCAAGCATTTGTCTTTTGAGTTCTGATATTGCCAAGCCCTAAAATGCCAATCATGTTTTCCACTTTCCTGAATATAAAATATTTCACACTATGTACATTTAACAAGTGACAATCGCCCTCACACTTGTAGGGACAGTTGAGCTAATCGTGTAGTGATTTTTCACAGTAATTCACAATCTATGAAGATAATATATCGGGTACATATTGTTGCTACCGACTATACTCAATTACCACTTAAGTACTATTAATAGTAACTAAGTACTACTGTCCCCGATATATTTTGTCATATTACGACCCCCAGTGTTGAATGTTATTAAACTTTCTAAACACCATTACTTCTCATCTGTATAATTAACCTAGACACTAGATTCTTATCGAGTAAAATATCTAATCCAACTATCTTCACCTCCTTTTTAATGATGTTTTTTTCGATAGCTATTTTTAGTCTCAATTGCATTATACCGTTTATTTCTCTTCATGGCAAAGCGGTGTGAACGCTCTCCTTCGAAAGAGATTTAAGGAGGGGTTCCGATGTTAGCTGTATTTACACTAATTCATAAGCGTTAATGAATATCCCTTTATTATCGATATTTCATTGATAACTTTAGTATCTTTTATTGTATCTACAGTCCAGGCTTGTTAAGTGCTGTTGAAGTAAAACGTTCGTGCGCTGTGCTTATATTCTGCAATTCTGACTTCCATATAGTGAACCGGACTACTATATTTTTCTTTCATTTTCCACCAACTAGAGTAGAGTTCATTTTCGTAATGGGAGCTTTATTGATGATGACTCCAGTATACTTTATAATACACTTGAGTTAGTATGTTAGAATGATTAGGATTTAAGAACTGGGCGTTTATCATTGTAAAAATTCATTGATTGTTCATCAAGTATTGTGTTGAAAGTTGACCATACATTCACTATGAATCGACATTGATTTTTGTCTTCATAAGTTGTTTTGGTGATTGCACATCCCAAACGGAGAGGTATCTCAACAAGTTTCATTTGTATTGCAACAAATAAAAATTGAAAGTTTACGTTTTGAACATCGTAGGTGGGTCTCCTGTAGGCTAATCGTTTGGTGGAACCATCATCCTTGAGAATCAGAAACATGTTAAATATTTGCTACCATTTGACAATTCATGGCTTATTTATGTGATGATTTTATTAATTCAGTTTCGTTTACTGTGGTTCAGACAGCTACGAACAGCCCTACTGGCATATGAACGTACAAACTGTCGTTGGGTTCCATTAGTTCTCACTAAAAATAGCCTGTTAACCGAAGATGCATTTCAGCACACCCTCTATTTGGGATAGTTGTGTTAATAAGACTCGTTCCAGTGTAAATTACATACCACATGTGGGTTTGTATACTCAGCGTGGAGCAGCACTTTACTCAAGACATGTCTCGAATCAAGGACATGGTAGCTGGGAGTCGAACACCCGCAGCATTAAGAAATCCGTACGAAGGAAATGGAGCACTTCATGGTTGGAAAAGCCTGTTTTCCAAAGACTGGTTGGCGCAATATCCGGAAGGATTGATTTTAGCTTGTATATATATATGTATTCTGACTTATATGTACAGCTACGCTGGTCTATATGATCATAGTTTCCACTTGCAATAAGCGGTTGGGGATTAATAAAGTATTCAGTGGTACACTAGTTCCTCGAATCCATGAACAACTACAAACTGGAAGTTTACTAAGTAGTACGATTTAACAACAATTACCTCTTACCATACAGTATACTGTAAGGAGTTATCATCTAGCAGTCGTTTATATTCATTTAGTACTACCATTATGTTAGAAAACATTTGTGATCCAACTACTTTAAAGTCATTAGATGCTTTTAGGTAGAAACAACCGAGTTCTTCAGGCGTGAAGAAATTATCCTTGACAGTCAGGAAAAGGGGTCAAAACCATCCTGTGGTAACCACAGAGGGATTAGTTTAACTAATATAACATCTAAAATATTAGCCTTATTAATTATCAGGCGCTCAACAAAGACTCGTGAACTGCAAACACGAGAAAATCAGGCTGGCTTCAGCGTCTGTCATTGAAATATGTACCTAAGAAGTACATAGACTATGTCAGTCAGTAACAACGTAAAACTTCGTACGTACGTACATCAGTTCAAGTTGCCATACCACATTAGTACAGAGATGCAGTTGTCGATTCAAATCCCGTAGTGATAGAGGCGGTAAGACTATGTGAAGGGTCTTTACTCAAACACTACCAGTCGAGTCGGAGCTTATGGCGAACTGTCATCTGATTTTTCAACCTCAAGTGATGTCCGACAAGACTGTCCACTATCTTCATTTTAGTTCAATTTCATTATAGACCTACTACTGGAAATACCGTCCTCGTCGACTGAATTTTCGGGAATTGATCTCCCATCAGGAGGTCAACTTATCGACTTGGAATACGCATATGACATAGTTCTGTTTGGTGAAGACGCTGATGAAATGCAGTCTTTTGGTAGCACTAAGCAACAATGCCAGAATGTTTGGAATGCTCTTCTCACCCTCTAAATGCAAGCTGCTGCTTCAGGACTGGTCTGCGTCAACACCTGAACTAAGGATAGAGAGTGAAGTAGTCGAACGCGTCGAAAACCTCACCTGTCTTGGAAGTGTAATCAGTCCCAATGGTTTGGTGTCTGACGAAATCTCATTTAGCTTTCACCAACTTACGTCACATGTAGCGAAGGCGAGATATCCGTCTATCAATAAAAGGACAAGTATACTGCGCGGCAGTTTGTTCTCTTGTAATTCACGGCTGCGAAACGTGGCCATTAAGACTTGAAGATATTCGTCAGTTACTAGAATTCGACCACAGATGCCTCAGAAATATTGCTCGCATCTGCTGGGATCACCGGGTAGCAAGTAATGGTGAGGTTGAATGCAGGGTATTAGGGAATGATGATACATTAGTTGATGAGGTTGTGAATCTCCATCGACCGAGATAGTTGAGCCACGTATTACGGATGCCCAACCACCGATTACCACGACGTGCAATGCTGACTAGTGTTAGGAGTGACTAAACCAAAACGTACCATCAGTCCATAAAGTCACTAGATTTTGGTCTGAGTCATGTTGGTAGATGCAGTTTACCTACTTGGTTGGTGTCCACGCGATTATCGTAACTAATGGTTGGAGACTCTGGGTTACATGACTCAGAATCGAACACGAAGGCCTATGTGTATAAACTCTTTGTTTGCCCCTACACCGCGAGATTAAAAACGCTTTATATCTTTCTTTCTACGAACTAATTCTTTCTCCCTGTATTAGATAGAACTTTCAATATGCAGTGAAAGTTCAGACTATTCTAACGACGAATCAATTAGAGTAGTAATTATACCAAAATTATTAACAAGTTGGATTTTCTTACTTCCCTCGAACAAAATTAGAGTTGTGAACATTAAAATACCCATATTTAATGTGAAAGTTTCTTTTTTGATAATGTAATAATACCAAAAAGACTGAGTTTTGTCAGCAGTTCAAATTAACATACACTTAAGAAAATTTACATTTAGAAAAATCCATTTCAGGATGAGCAGCCATAAACTTTTTCAACATTTCTTGTTTTTTCTGATCTTCGGATGTTGGCAGACCAAGCTCTTTTTGACGTTGATCATACATCATTTTCTCAACCATAGATCGAGTCTCACCGTCTAAATCAGAGAGTTTGGAATTTTCCGGTTGAACTTTACGTGTATTCATTTCTGGTTCACCATCACAGATACGACTCCACCATTCCATTTTGTTAGATTTCTCTAGGTGGACGAGTATAGTGATCCCATCCAGGAGACTCCATACACATTCTTCAACCTAGTAAAAACATTTCCAATGTATTTCTCTTATTTTAAACAACAAAAAAAACTACAAACCCCATTGAAAGAAAATTAAACTATGCTAAACGTAGTAAATGGGACGTGATCGACTTTTCTTTCGTTAGTTACGTTGCCATAACCATAAGCGAAATAATAACTTACATACTACTTACCACAAATTACATACAGTCAAAAGAGATTGTAGCTGAAATACATTACTATTGGAATTCTTGAAATATATTTACTATCCGTACAGTGAAATACAAAGGCTTGTCATTCATGTTAAATAAGATCTTTTAGTGATAATGATTCCAAAAAGCGACACCAAATCATTTAGTTAGCTGATACCTTTTATTTTGATAATGTTTAAATCACCAAATAGAATCAGATATTAAAAGAATGAATAACAACTGGAAAGGATTGCCCAGGACAGGGTTGGATGGAGAATGCTGGAGGGTCACTTCTTCAGAGTAAATAAATAACCGGAAATTAACATATAGTACTATTTAAACTTTTGTTAATTTTATTTTGGAGTCAGATAACATCATTTTTAGATAGATTAAAATCAACCATCGAGAAAAAAAATACTAGGAAGCTAAGTAGAATATTTTAGAAGAACCTTCGAGCGTGATCCCATACAAGTTTAGACATCATATAAACGATGGCGTCACATCTCACAGTATTTAACAATTCACATACATAGAGAGGAGCAATCGAATAATCCAACCAAGGGTTGTGGAACATGCACCTAGATGACTGGCTTCAGGATCAATATCAAATGCTTCCAAAAACGTAAGGAATAGAAAACCATGTTCATTAATAGGAAAACATTTGAAACGGGCCATGAAATCGACTTTAATGAAGCTTTTAAAACATTGTGTATGAATTATCAAGGACGAATTCTTAAATTTGTAGAAGACTTAGCTAGTAGGAAACTCAAGCCACCTTTATGAGTACAAAAACTTTGAATCGCTTTTGATAATCCTTTACCCATTCTGAGACCCAGTATGGTGTTACAACTTCCTATTCTTTCCCTATCATTATTACGTCATTTCTTCTTTACATGATTTCTAGTAATTACTTTGTATTTATTCGGCTTTTAAATGAGCTTTTATTAGTTTACATTTACAAATATTTGTGATCATGTTGTTCAAAATGTATGACGGGAATATCCATTTTTCAGATCAACTCCGTTTTCTCATTGTTCTACCAAAATACATCAAAGATGAAATTGACTGTTGTTGTCTAAGAAAGATGGCATTTCACTTTTGTCAGAAAATGAGTATCATAAACAACTTGGGTAGACTATAGAACAGACTCATAAAGTGGATAGAATGGCTTGTTTTATTATTAGTAGCATTAGTCTATGTTTTTGTGTTGATTAAGTCCAGGCTATGCAAGCTGTCCGTCAAAATACAGATTATGATCATGTGCCTTATATGAGATCTATTAGCAAAAGTATTATTACACTACACATGAGGAACTAACAGGTTAACAGAAACTGTTTCTTTTCAAAGTCATTTAAGGGAGTCAATTTTCAACAGTATATGCAGCCTTATTATTATAGTGTGAAAATTGTGAAGTCTCACTGATTGAACTGCTTTTATTCGACTTATACATGGAATAGATGGATTTGTAGTTGTAGATCAGTGGTCTTTGTCTTTGATTCGATATCAGTATATTAGGAAATGAATGCGGATTCTGTTTAATGTAATCAAAGTGAGAATGATAGGAAAGTGGACTGTAATTCATTGTCTGGTCAATGAATCTAAACATGATTTCGAAACCAAATGAATAGTTCTTATTCATAGTTTAAAAGTAAAGCAAATTCTAAATAAAATATCCAATGAGGAATGATTGCTTACCTTAATTTCATTATACAAATTCCCAGCTAAAATGGGCTCCTGATTCTTTAAACCAATTTTGATGTGCTTTCTGGTAAATTCAACATAGACATCGCGAGATTTGATGGAATGTGGTAACTAATTATAAAAACAAAATAAATTGTAAAACTAATTATGTTGGGGGGGCGGGCGGAAGATTCGCTAAAAGCAACTCTTATTTCACAAAACAAACTGCAATAATCTTTACAATTTCGTTTCATTCAAATGCCACAGAATAGTAAAAAGAATTAGAATTGTATGAGCCGATAGCGCATAGGATAGATAATTCTTGTTGAGAATCAAGATCCAGCTTATTTTGAAATAACTAAAATAATTCATTGCGTACGCATTCGCTAATCTTATCTTCATGATAATTGTTTTTGGAATGAGTCAATTGAACGAAAAACAAAAATGTATCACAATATCAATTTTATTACAAAACTTACACGTGTTGGAATCTTAATATCAACATCGCTCAATGTTTGAGTCCAGCTATAATTTGGCAGATCTGCACCATTTCCTTCATTCGGTTTCAATTTTCCCTTGTCCTCCTCATCTTCTTCATCATCAGGAGACGAACCAACTTTGATTGGTTTAGGCAGATCACTTTTCTCAAGTGATGGCTTTGCTTCTGTTTGTGGTAGTGTGGACATGTCTGACGGCTCCTCACTTGTACCGTTTAAATTATCAGCTTTTGGTATAGAAAATGAGAATTAGACAGAAAGAGTTGATGAACAGACAGCTAAATATTACACAAAACGAATAATAACACTTAATGTTTTCTTTTAAAAAAGCGACAGCAAAGAAAATAGATATTTTACTAGATAGTCAGATTATAAAGCTTCACTACTCAATGTTCTGGTGCGCGTCAATAGAATTATTGAAATGCTAGATCTAATGTAGAAAGTGCTTGAATTTTCGTGATATTATGATTGATTTTGAAAAATATATCCTAGTGTTTCCAACTACTACCATTTCAAGAGGATTTGGCAAGAAGTTTATACTGGGCTTACTTACATACGCCTGGTACTCCCAATGGAGCATGGGCCACCGACCAGCATTCTCCAACCCACTCTGTCCTCGGCCTTCTTTTTTAGTTCCATCCAATTCTTGTTTATTTTTCTCATGTCTATCTCCATTTCCTGGCGTATTGTGTTCTTTCGTCTTCCTCTTTTCCTTTGGCCTTCAGGATTCCATGTGAGGACTTGTCTTGTGATGCACTTCACTGCTTTTCTCAATGTGTGTCCTATTCACTTACAGCGCTTCTTCCTGATTTCTTCCTCCGCTGGGATCTGGTTTGTTCACTCCCACAGTAGGTTGTTGTTGATAGTGTATGACCAACGGATTCGAAGTATTTTGTATAGACAACTGTTAATAAACACCTGTATCTTCTGCATGATGGCCTTCGTAGTTCTGCAGGTTTACGCTCCATACAACAGTAGAACTGTCTTGACATTTGTATTGAAAATCCTGACCTTTGTGTTGGTTGACAGTTGTTTTGAGTTTCAGGTGTTCTTCATTTGTAAATATGCTGCTCTTGCTTTCCGACCCGCACCTTCACATCTGCATCAGATCCACCGTGTTCATCAATGGTGCTGCTCAAATATGTAAAGGTTTTTACATCTTCCAAATCTTCTCCGTCAATTGTGATTGGATTGTTGCATGTTGTGTTGTTTCGGAGAATCTTGTTTTTCCCTCTGTGTATATTGAGACCTACTACTGCTGTAACTGCTGCTACGCTGGTCGTCTTCTCCTGCATTTGTTGTTGCGTTTACGATAGAAGATCAAGATCATCTGCGATTTGTTTATTTATTTTATTTTAACAAATAGATATTGGTAGAAGGAGGCACCAAATACATATGCGCCACACAAATCTCATTCGATGTGCGAAGGCTGTGATACTGCCCGGGTGCCCAAACCGAAGCAGGTGGTTTTCTTAGGGGGCCACACCCCGAGCCTTCGACCTGAAGGTCTGATCCACAAGGCAGTGGAGCATCGTAAGGAGATGCAGTCCCATGGAAGCCGGTGACCAACAATTGGTTTATACGCCTTTTATTCCCGCAGGATACTGGAGCCCATGTGCACCATTGGTTTGGAATCCGGTTAAAGCGCCGGACATTCGCTTTTCGTCCTCTCATTTTTGTAAACAACATCCCTGCCACGAGAAGGCAGTGAGTAGGACTTCCCTGTCAGAGGCTATATACGCGTGGCCATGTGAAAGCATTTGGAGAGGGAGAGCGGACCCTCCCCACTCTCGGCCGTACCAGGGCATTTGGGGGCGAAGTCTAGATCGTCCAGCTGTATCCTAGCTGTCCGCTTTATCACGTGCTTCTCTTCAGATGTTGACGTCTAAGCAGTTGGAGGTTATTAGCATCGATCATTCTATTATACATGCAGTCTACACAACTGTTACTATGGTTTACTGGTTTTCTAACATTACATGATCTAAGTATACGAACTCCAATCCATTAGGTTTACTTTGACAAACTGATTGATATCGTTATTTTAAATAGTAGTGAAAATGACTTAAGATTTCAATGTACGTACGTATAAATTTAGTAATTTGCATTACTCATATCTATTGTACTGCTTACAGTTGACAAAAAACACCACTAACTTTTGCTTAACTCCTTTGGAGGGGCAAGATTCGCCTTAATGGCTTCTTTCTTTTTTTCTTCTCTTCGTTTACGTTCGCGTTCATCTCGTTCATGTAATTCTTTCTTTTCTTCTTCACGACGTGCTAAGGCAGCATCCTATTTATTCCCAGAAAAAAACATCAAATGGCTTTGAATAGCAGTGATGAACAGTCTAACGATCAAAGCAATACACATGACTAAAATACTCGTACAGGGAAAAGTCTCAAGAATGGTACTTCACATTATTGATTCACGGTTGTTGAAAAAAAATGAACCGTTAAGATAGGCCGGCTGTATAGAACCGTGCAACGAAAAACAACTGGAACTTTACAAGCGATTAATGCTGTTCCACTTAAAGTTGGTTAACTCTGTACCCAAACTCACCCACAATATAATATTGCATGAGTCATAAAGTAGCAGTTCGACATACGTTACTCTTTTGAATGGATGTTGTAAACTAAGAACTACTGTAACACGAAACGCTGACAGGATGAAACAGATTAGTCAGTAGCTACCGAGGACTATTTTCTCCTCAATATACGATCGAATACAGTCCGTCATATGCAACGTGAGGTCTGGCACATATGTGCATCAGTTCAAGTTGCTACATCACATTAGAACAGAGAGATGAAATTGTCAACAGAAATCACAAAGTATTAGGGGTAGTAACATTATGAGTAGTAGCAGTAGTAGTATAAAACATTAGGTACAGACAATTCGAGCAGAAAAAATGAATTCGTGCGATAATAAGTACCAGGTAATTGTAAAGCTTAGGATCTAAAAGAAGACAAAGAGCAAATGCATTCACGACACTTAGAACGATTTCAAGCCATTTTATCTGACGTCCTAATGAGTAATGTAAATATTTAGATAAATAGCTTGATCCGCACCTTTAATTGTTTTAACTATAATAAATCGGGCTCTTTCGCAAATTGTGAAATCATAACAACTAAGTTTATCTAAGAATGAACACGTTAAGTTTGATCACTCAATAGCTGTGGTGGCCCCAAATCCGTCTACTGGCACATGTACATTTAGTTTTCTTTTAGATTAATTCCAAAATTATCTGTTACTATATGAATTCGTGTTCCCCTGAACCACATTTTCGAGGTTCAATCTTTTTAACTGTTGCTGAAAATACAACTCTTTCTACCCCCTTTGCTACTATTCATCTAGGTGACTATCGTTATATTATGTTATGGCAACTAGCTAAAGAAGGTTCATGTGGAGTTTATACTGATTACGATTGATCGATATTTTCTCCATACAAATCATTCTTTGTGGGTATTTACATATAATTAGATAAGTTCCCGTGTTTAACAACTTTTGAGTATGTTTATGCTCATTTCCAGCCAGTTGTTTATTATACATTTATCATAACATTCCTCTAGTTTGGCTTTAGTTTATGTACACTTTGCATTGAACTTGTTAGTCAATCATAAATAACATTGTTACAAGAAACCTCAGAGTGATAGAGGTAGTAATAGTATGCGTAGCAATATTGGGCATCAAAGATACAGTTAAAGAAAACAGAAACTTTTTGGAGAACTGTAACCCTAAAAATGGAAACTTACCCGGTGTTTTGCAAAATTCTCAAGAACTAAACGCTTCGCATCTTTTTCAGTAGCTCCATAATAAAAATCTGTTCGTCTGGAAAGGAAGCCGAAAAAGGCGTCCAGCAATCCCTGTACTCCATTGTCACAGCTTTGTGCAACACTCAGGAAAACGTTATCATACTCCATGATAGAAAAAAAGCTTAAAAAAGAAGAGATTATCTAGTTATGTGCCTTATGAGTACAAATCAAAAACTTGATATGTATCACTAGATTATATTGCGGAAAACTAATAAAACTAATTAAAAGCCATTAATAGCTCGCTCAGATGTAAAATTTGAGTCCATTGTTCCAAACGCACTGATTGTTTCTGAAACCAAAATGACATTATCAAGCCAGCTGTTAACAGCAATACGCAATTTTCGTAACTGCTGGTTTCTATTGCTAACACTGACAGGGGCGAAAAATGTACAGATGAGGTCGGACCCCTTTTGATTTAATTGTTCTTTAACTGTAGATCGTGGAGGAGAAGGATCCACGGAAAGTGAGCGCATGGCAACTTCTGCGAAGCTTGGATTGTCGAATGAAACGCTGACAGAAAGACAATGTTCATCAGATACTAGTCTTGTATCACTTAGAGCCATCGAGTTGTTCATCACTGGTAGATCTAAAACATAAAGCTATGCAAAGAAACATACAATACGGAACTTTTTTCTTCTTGGATTTCACGTTCTATTTCACGGCGCACGTTCTCACCAAGCTTCTACAAACTTGAGTTTAGTAATTTGAGCAACCTACTTCACGTTCAAGAGCTTGAGAAATATGTACACCTGCAAATGTCGACAATGTAAAGAGACACGAAACTCCTAGAGTGATTTTGGAAGCAGTTGACATGAACCTTAAAAAATTAGTGTAACAGCAGTGTTGCATTATATAGATCTACATATTCACATAAGAACATATGCAACAAAATCCTCGTGACGCGGACATAACTTTAATGACTGTAATTTGGTGATCTAGAAATGGAAATTTTCTCAAGGATTTTAATGTCTTTAAATGAACATGAATATCCTCGCCAATACGGACTTTAGCCGAATAGTTGTATCTATTTTCCCCTTGTCGTAAGGATTGATGACTGTCTCAAAAATCGTTTCATTTAGATAAAAAAATTTAGAAACTATTCAGTTAAAAAAACCTTATTACTTAACATCTAATCTATCGGTGTATGAAGTGCTTTAGAGACAATGTACAAAAATAAACTGAAATTATTGTAATTAAGTCATAGTCTGCTACGTGTTATTCGCACTTATTAAACGTGAAAGCTTGTATATGGTATGAAACATTTTACAGATCCATTTACAAAGCTACAAACTGTCAAGTCAGAAGTATTAATGACATCGTACTGCTTAAGTCATAGTAAAAAGAATGAGTGTTGTTTGATTTTCAAATCTGTTGACGTGCTGAACAAAATGGAGAACTTGGAAATGAAAAAGAATCGAAACATAACAGTGTGAAGTAGTGTCTATTTTTATATCTATGGAACAAGATTATTTTCCCGATATTTATCACTTTCGCTGTCAGTGACACTACTGCTTTTGGTTTTATCTCGATAATTTCATCCCCTCGTGCTTATATGGTGTACCAACCTAGACCGATGCATATGTCCCAGACTCTACGTTGTATCATTCTTTGCTTTAGTTTTGTCTAGCAGCCTAATCAAAGTCGAGTAAGTTCATAACTGTTCTTACTTGAAATCTAATTGACAGCTTCAAAAATATAAGACGCTTTTGCCTCACATGTTAAATTGTATAATGGGCCTTACTACCGATAATCCTAAAACGTCTAACTGTGCATTAGTTACCTTCACAACACGTACAATGTGAATGAGCATGATTATTTACTTAACTGTTATATATGAGACAGCAACATGTTTATATGAAGATTTGGCAGCCACGAAGAAACAATAATAATCAAAATGTAACGCAGATGTATAAAACACCAAGTAACAATGTCATTAATAACGATTAACAACATACTATGAACGACTTTGGGCGTACTAAAGCAATTTAGGACAAAATGCGACCGCTGCTCTGTTTTAGATGGGCTACGGAGTGTATTCGAATGTTGCTGACTGTAAAAATAATTAACACTAGGTGTCAGTTGATTATTAGGGGTTGAGTCGACTTTTCAGAGGAACTGCAAAGGCCGGCGCGGGACAGTCTGGAGGTAATCACGCAAAGTAGCAAACTTATCTTTGAAGCTTACCGTAAAATTCTAAAAGCGAGGTGGCGGGATTCGACCTGTAGAACCTGCTCTGTATTTAGCAAGACTGGACTGCTTGACGCTAGTCAAACAATATAACGGTTTATTAAGGCCTGAAAGTCAGAGGAGTGATATTCATGCCTCACGACATACTTTATACTTGAGATGGTTTGGCAAAGTAAGACCTCGAGGGACAACGTAGCTTGGTTCATTCAAAACACTAGGCCATTAGCAGTTGAAATGAGAACAAAAGAGTATAATTCGAGGGGGAAAATGAGACTTCATCGACTGAATTTATGAGTCGATCTAAGCTAGACCACCACTGAAAACCTGGAAGCACTAGATGGTCACTTCGTCCCAGTATGGGACTTTTCGGCAGCGTCCATCCACGATCCTGTACGCAGGACCCGAAGCCATGACTTTTGGATTCTCGCGCGAATGGTTAACCTCTAGACCACTAAGCCGACATCAAATGGTGCTAATGTCTAACTTCAACCGACCCATGATCTTGCGCAACTCTCCGTTCATTGTCTGAAGTGGATAACTGCCTCCACTAGACACGGACTGGAACTAAAAGTAATGGATTATCATGAGTCATTTCGCAACATATTTTGCCAGAGATAAGAAGATGGACATCTTTACTACACAAGTGATTCAAAATGGGAAAAAACAAGTGAACATTAGTCTTTATCGGGATTTCCTGACACAGAACACGCAAAATCCAGCACACTGTGGATTATAAACACTTTGCAAGCTAACGCAGCGATATTAGATGATAGCATCTGACGCACTCTATTAATATAATTTTCAATAGCGCCTTCCCCAAAATTGGATCGAAGGTATGTTGTGAATGTTATAAAAAGCGCACCACGTAAAGTCCACGGCTAGTACGTGGCTAGGTGCCTTCTGGCAAGACGCTACCAATAAATGACTCGTTCCAACGTGATTTCTAGTGCTACCCATGAAACACCGATGAGTACTTCTATATTGTTTGAACTGGTTGGACAATACACGATGGAAATCACTTAGTGTATCGAAAGCATCAATAATTCACCTTCCTAAAGCTATGAGAAGGCTATGACCACTTATTATTTCCAACTATAGTTTGTATGAACTTCAATAGTTCTTTACCTATACGTAAAGTATCCTGCTGGTCGCTGTAGTACCATATCGACTCACCACAATGTGTATAGTTATTAGCATGCAAAAACTACAAAAAAGGCACTTCCTCCATAATCTGCTTTTAAAATTTTGTTAATCGATAAAATATATAAAAAGTGAAGCGACACTACGAAGCTACCTCACCTACAGTCAGCACATGTATTCAACCTGTATGGTAAGCGCCAAACAAAAATTGGGTTATCAAAACAAATCAGTCTTCACTCTTTACTAATAATGATAGCATATTAGTGAACCTGTGTTCACTCTGACAGGTTGCCTTCCAGTTAATATCTAGCTTCTCCTTAAAAATATTCACTAATGTGGATGATTCCACTTGTTTGAGTAAGGCGTTCCAGTTGTAGCGGTAAATAAATCCTCAAAATAAATAGCTCTGTAGGTCTTCGATATTGGATGCTGACCACATTATTTTCAATGAACCCACCTAGCTGAAAGAGCTCGTTCATGCATCCGCACGAGATCACGAGTGGGGGCGCCGTACTCACCATCCCCTGCAACCGCTAACCAGTCTAGATCACTCGATCATCGATATATTGATAGCCTATCAAATATATCTTCGGACCTCCTCGCTTCTGTCTTTTGATTTCACTTGGTGGGTACAATTCATAGTGGAAGGTGTCACTGGTTAAAACATTGCCAAACTTCAAACATCTGCAGTATCTTCACAGTCATTGACTATTCGATGAGAAATACGGGACAACACTTCAAGTTTATAAATCGCTATTTGTGAACCTTCTTGCTATGACCTCGAAGAATAGTAGTTCTGGAGGGAGCGAAGAGATGAGAAAAATTAACACACAAATCATAATTAAAGATGCGAAATGCCAGCATAAGTTCACCTCACGTCCTACGATATGACAAAGGGAAAAGCTTCAGGCGCTTTTTTAGCGCTCATCGTAAGGGAGTTTAGAAAATCCCTTCACTAACTTTGTTCCCACATGCTTGACACACTCGAGTATCCTCTACCAGACATAAGCTAGCCGCTTGAATACGGCTCTCTAAGTGTGGTGTCACATTTCCTCGTCAAAGCATTTGAATACTCGTCGAATTGACCGTAACGCGCGAAAACCTCTGACAGCAGCTGTGTTGCAATGCGTAGTTGTTTTCAAAACATGACTTATTGTTACTCCGAAGCCTTTATGTTCTCGAACGCATGGAAGAGATGCACCACCAATAGTATGATGGTAACTATTACAGTGTCTGATGTGCATGAGCACACTCTTCCAAGAATCAACTCCGAACCCCCAACCTCGAGCTCATCTAACTAAATCGTCTAAGTCAGCTTGAAGATCATATTGATAAGCCTCACTTTTCATTGTTCCCCAGATTTCGACATCATCCACAAAGAATAATGTCGACGACCCAAGCAACAGCGGTAACTCATTAACATAGAGAAGGAATGGTAGAAAGCCTAAGATAATGCCTTGGGTTACACCACTTTTGACCGGCTTCCAATCGGATAGCGTTTCATTGACCTTCACGCTCTGTCTGCGGTTACATAAAAGGTTCCCTATTCCAGACCTAAGTGTGAAACCTTGTCAAATGCTTTGCTAAAACCTGTGAATATCACGTCGACAGACAGACCTTTATCTGAGGTTCCTGTCCAGTCCTCTCTCGCTATAAGTAAATTAGTCAATTACGAACGCTTGTTACAAAATCCATGTTGCTCGGAAGTTAACAGATTGTGCAAATTTATGTGAGTTAGTAACCTAACCCGAATTATCTTTTCAAGTAACTTAAATGATTTAAACTTCAAAGCATACTAGGTAGCAACAATAGAGTAACTCTTCTTTAAAATCAAAATCTGAGTGGTAGTAATTTACTTTTAATATTTGAATTTACGTTATTCGCACTTGTCTTTTAATGATACTTAAATTTAATAATTTCTATAGTCGTAATAAAACACCACATCGTTTTTTCTTATGACTATCTATATTTATTCACGCCTATATCCAACGTCTATCATTTATTTGTATCAGTCGTGAATACTTACCTACGCCTATTAGCACTCGTGTGAAAGTAGGTCTCGGACAACCAAACTACAGCCAACTCCGTCCTAGACTCTCCTTTCCAGTTGTTTCCTGTCACTATTCGTCCTTTCGGTGACTGTATCCACTTTGACCTGCCTCTCTACATTTTCTCTTTTGGATTCCAAGTTAGCGCTTACCTCATGATGCAGTTTGATGGTTTCTTCAATGTATGTCTCATCTATCTCCGGCGTGTTTTCCTATTTCCCTCCTCAGATGAAAGCTGGTTTGTTCTCGCCTACAATAGATCGCTGCTGAAAGTATCCAACCAACGGATATTGAGCATCTTGAGTACCTATACAATTTTGACGATGCTTGTGGTAGTTCTACAAGTTCCATCTCTGTACAACAGATCCGTCTTGAAGTTCGTAGGTGTCACTACCAAGTTTTGATATGATAATCTCAAACAAATCGTTACTAACAAAAACACTATGTAAGATCCATTTTGAAGGTTTTATGTGTTGGTGAAAATCCCTCCATGTATATACTTGTACTTTATTCCTATTGATCGCATTAGTTGTACATTGTTGTATTTTGATTACATTTGAATTGTTAATATTTGTATTTTTGTTATAGTTTTTGTTTTTATTACGCATTCACTAAGTTTGTGTTTCTTCCTGAACTGCATCTGCGTTGTTTTACTTGACACTTGTTCTTGGCGGTAGCCATATTGATTTGTTCCTCCTGTTGTGTGTGATCTATCCAGCCAGGATAGAATAACGTTGATTTGTTGTGATTGGTAATTTTTCCGCATCTTCTATCAACTTCTTTATTTATTGTAATTTAGATTTAATTGATTGAACAATCATTGGTTGAATAGCCGGGTGATAATATTTGTTTAGGTAATGATTTACATTAAATTTATTATGAATTATAGAACCGCTAGTTACCCGAATACTTGTTCTGATTTCGACGGGAAAGGGCGCATGTCTAAAACCCCCTATCGGCTATTCTTCAACATCCAAAGCGTAGTTTGGATCCTACAGTTCTAAACAAGTATTACTTGGCCGAAATCCTTTGGTAATCGTTCACGGATTTTCTGGAAATAATTGGTCGTGTCGCTTATAATGCCAGTTAATCATCGAAGGAGATCAGGCTCAAAGTTCGTCGATGTTAAAGAAGAATCCTCTATTGTCAAGCAAGTGCCTTTTGACGTCCCTATGGGTCATGGTTCAGACTTAAATAGGGTTAATTATCATGGCAGTGATTCTAGCCTTAATTCGATGTCAGTTGATGTAAAAAATCTTAGTTTAAGGGAGGAGCAAAGGCCTGAATTACTAGGAAAGAGCATGTCGCCTATAGTCCATGTTGTTGGCCCAGAGCTACCAAAGGTTGAACTGAGTTATTTCGATGGAGAGCCAAGAGGTTATTGGAAATTTATAAGGCAATTTGAGACGTATGTAGCGTCAAGAGTCACGGATGATAGCCAGCGCTTGCTCTATTTGATACACTACTGTAAGGGCAAGGCTAAAACAGCTATTGAAGGTTGCGTCATGATGGAGGCATCCTCTGGCTATAAAAGAGCAAGGGAGATTTTAAAACGTTTTTTCGGACAGCCTCACGTAATTGCTCGAGAAACACTAGAGGACTTATTCAGTGCTGTGAATTTTGAGTATATTGACGGGGACCAACTATCAAATTTGGCTATTAAGATGGAAAACTGTGCCATGGTCTTGGAACAAATGAATTATACTTCTGATCTAAATTCCTTAGTTACCTTGGAAAGAATAGTGAGACTCTTGCCTCAACCTATGCAAGCCCAGTGGGCGGACTGGGTGGATAAATTGACTGAAGATAACAGGGAACCGACCTTCGACGAGCTCACTCAGTTTATTGCATCGCGTGCGAGAGTGGCTTGTAGTAGATTTGGACGGTTAGCAAACCGTTCTAGAAAAGGACATAACGTAAAGACGAACTGTCACGTGCAATCAGAGCAAGGGAATAGTTCGACAATGAAAACTAAATGCAGTATGTGTTCCTACGACCATGCCATTGATAAATGTCCACAGTTCTTAGCGCTTACAGTGCAAGACCGATGGTCTCACGCTAAATGCAAGGGTATCTGTTTCGTCTGTCTTAGACAAGGACATAAGGTTAATGAATGTAAGATGACAAGGCTCTGTAAGGTTGACAGTTGCGAGAGGAGACATCACGCTCTGCTGCACACTGACTCGACAAGCAACGTCGTAAATGATAAGCCATCATGCCCGGAATATAGGAAAAGAGTTGTTAATCATACCAGTAAGATACAGACATTAGAGAACGAAATACGTAAGCCTTATGACGTAGAGTTTTCAGATGCTTATTCAAGTGATAAATCATTATCAGTAGACGACAAGATGGCTATAAAGATTGTGGAAGGTGGCACGCGCTTCGGCAACGGTCATTTTGTAGTTTCTATACCTTGGAAAAAGAATCCAGATATGAAAGTGGATAACTATGAAGTAGCAAACCGTAAATTACAAAGTTTGAAGGGTATGTTGTCGAAGGATGTCAGTCTGCACATCAAGTATATCAAAAGTACTGAAAGTGATTTTACTAAGACTTATGCGGAGAGGGTCTTTGAAATATATCTGCAGTCTTATTATCTCCCTCGATGGTATTTACCTCATCGTGCAGTATTAAACATGAAAAAACCAGATCTTAGAGTGGTCCTTGATTGTGCCGCCCAGTTTTCAGGGGTTCCCCCAAATGATATGATTTATCAAGAACCCGATACCACTGCTGAGTTAAGGTGTATATTAATAAGTTTTCGCAAGGAGGCAGTTGCAATCCCTGTAGATGTTGAAGAAATGTTCATGCAAGTGAAGGTCCCTGAGTCTGATCGAGGAGCTTCAGGACTTCTGTGGTGGCAAGAGGGAGACATGTCGAGGGAATCATCCGAGTTTCAAATGACATCTCATCCATTTGGCGCCATATCATCGCCGTTTTGCGCGAACTTTGCCTTGAATAAGACGGCCCAAATATTCTCTGACGGTTATGATGGTTATGTCGTAGATGCTGTTAAGAATAATTTCTATGTTGATGACTGCTTGGTATCTTTTCCCACTTGTGATCAAGCAAAGAGTTTCGTCAAGCAGATAAGTGAATTATTATGTAGAGGTGGCTTCAAACTAAAGAAATGGGTTACCAACTCGGAGGAGGTAAGGGCCATCTTGCCTGATGTATGTAAAGAACAGTCCTTGATAGAAATGTCTACGGATTACGACACTACTCATCGAACCCTAGGTGTAGAATGGGATTTTAAACAAGATGTATTTAAGTTTTACTTTGATGCACCGGAAAGGCCTCTGACTAGGAGAGGTATTTTATCTATAGTTTCTTCTCTGTTCGATCCTCTGGGTCTGATTGCTCCAGTCTGTCTTACTGCCAAACTTCTCTTGCAAAAATTATGTAGGTCCCAAATAGGCTGGGATCAGCCTC